CAGCCATTTCAAATTCCAGTCAAAAGATGTGTTATTGGGGTTATTGGTTGCACCACTGTCCATGATCCATGATTCATAGTGATTTAATAATCCTTCAAATACTGATGATGATAATGCAACTGAGACAAACGATTTCACTTTGTTACCTTCATAACTTGACTTTTTCAGACAATCATTTGAAAAATGCCCCTTTTCGTGACAATTGTGACATTCATATTTATTTTTACCATATTCCAAATACTCCTGACACGGTTTGTTATGGCAATCACGTTTGAAATATCCAGACTTTTAGACCCACCACATTTGTAACATTTCACCTTTGCTTGATCCGATGAATTTCTATTTTGGTTGAAACCTTGATGAATTTTCTTAACAAAGTTTCTCTTTTCCTTGTTGTTTTTGCTTGACTTATCAATTTTTCCAACAAGTGCATTGCTTACTGTCTTGGATTCACGCCCTTGTAGTCTTATCTCTTCTTGTTGCAAGTGGTTCCTTGAATTTAGGAGGTTTTGTCGCTTTCAGCCACTGACTGCCAGGCTGCATGAAAATAATCAAATTTTGTAGGCAAACAATTCAAAATTCGAGACGTTAACCAGCTGTCCTTAATATCTTCTCCATTAATTTTCAATTCTTGTGCCACCCCATTGATTTCCAGACAATTTTCAACAGCTGTTTTAATTTCATAATATTTGTACGCAAAAAATTGTTGTTGCAACATGTCAACAGATTTTTGACTTCTTTCCATACAATGCTTCCTGTCTTTCAATCATCTTGGTTGATGTTGAACAAATCGTAATTTTTAGAGCAATATTCTCGTTTGCATTTAAGCCAATAATGGTGTGAGTTTCTGTGTCCTTTTTGATCCAAGCTGCATAATCTGAATCTGTCTTCAATGGTCGAGGTATTTCACCAGTAGCAATTTCAAACAGTCCTTTCATTCGAAACAATAGTTTGAGTCTTCATGCGACATAGTTAGACTTTCCATTTCCTTTAGCAAACTCCACTAACTTGTCAAGATTCAATTTTGTGTCCATATAGGCTCGTGACCTATTGGAATGAAAGTGGTACTCTAAGATTTCAAGAAAAATAATAATAATAATAACGTTTATTATGCATCAAAAGAAATTACATAAAAGGTAACATTCACGTAATGTGTTCTTCCATGCTACCCGAAAAAATAAATAAATAAAGAATTCAATGCCTATTCTAAGCTACGCTATTAATTCCAGCAGAGAAGCCTTGTACTTCTTTTTAAAGTTTACCAGTGACAGTAAACCTGAAATCATAAATTCATACACCTCTGTATTAAGTAGTTGTACCGCTCGGTAAGAAAATGAGTTTTTAAAACCTTCGGTTATGTGCCGTGGTATTTGAAAACGTATAATGTTTCTCAGACAGCGACTGTGTAGGTCTTGTCTTGTCAAAGTAATCTTGAAATTGGTTAGGGGATCGATGGTTGAAACTATCAGAAAACTCAAGAAACGTGAGGCCTCGCGTGAGGCTTTTATCCTTCTTCTCAAGAATTGAATCCTTTTTATTGGTTTTGCAAAAAGTAAATGTTAGGGGATGAAGGCTGGAAACAATCAGAAAATTCAACAAAAAAAGAGTTTATTATCCTTTTTCCTTTTTCCCACAGAAGAACATAGACTAAAAAACTTCTTGGTGGTAGGCCCAATGGTCAAAAAAGACTATATGTATGATAGTGGGTTTTGGCCAAAGTATGTAGGGGTTAGTAGGTTTAATTTTAATAAACATAGGAATTTTTTAGACAGTATGAGTGGTGAACTACGTCTAAATAGAGGTGGTGATTTTTTATAAATAATATAGATAATGGAACTCAAAAAGTGTCAAAAAATACAGATACAAATGATAACTTAGATGTAGGTCATGTAAACATAAGATCGCTTACTCCTTCTTTCTCTGATGTGTCTGCAATGTTACAGCATGAAAAATTCCATTTATTTGGTGTAACTGAATCATGGCTAACATCAACATACCCTGACAATCTGGTCAGTATCCCTAAGTATAACTTATATAGGGCAGACAGAGAGTCGAGGGGTGGTGGTGTATGTTTGTATGTTGCTGACTGTTTAAAATGTGTCATGCTAAAAGGGAATGAAAATGGTGCTAAAAACTGTGACAATAAAGTTGAACAACTATGGGTGGATATCAACTATAAAAATAAGTCTTTTTTAGTTGGTACTTTGTATAAACCCCCACTGGTCAACTATAACTACCTATCTAGTTTAGAGAATATTTTATCTAGCTTGTCCTCATCATATGACTACACAATTTTAATGGGTGATTTAAATATAAACTTTCTTACTAAAACTGCTGACTCTGATTATATGGAATCAGTGTTAGAAATTTATAATTTGAAACGAGTCATCTCTGAACCCACTAGAATAAGTAGAAATAGTGCAACTCTAATTGATATTATTTTTGTCAATAAGGGTGTCAGTGTTATTGAGTCAGGAACATTGGGCATGCTTAACCTAACTGATCATAGACTTGTGTACCCTTTAATTAGCATCAAAGCTCCCAAAATAGATGATAAGGTTATATCTTATAGAGATTTTTTTGATAGGAGGCAATTTGAATTAGAGGTACAGGACATAAATTATGAATTTATTTTGGGCCATGAAATGTTGGATGACAAGGTAGCTTGTTTCAGTAACGAGCTGGCTGGCATCTTCAATAAACATGCCCCAAAAAAAGCAGTTATTAAAAAAAAGTATAAATCTTACATTACTGACACTATTAGGCAAATTATTAAATTAAAGAAAACAGCATTCAATAAATTTAAAAAAAACTGGTCAAATTGAACACAAGCACTTTTATCTGGACATTAAAAACTATCTTTCTTTTGCAATTAGAAGTGAAAAGAAGGCATGCATGTCATTTGAACTTCATAAACATAAAAAAGATACAAAGAAAATTTGGAATAGGATGAATGATTGGAATATCAAGGTTAATAAAAACAGTGAAATACCTATTCATTTGAAAGATGTGGACCAAATCAGTAACTCTTTTGCGAGTGTATGTCAATTAGCTACTCCGATAGACAATTTACTAATGAATTTTTATCAGGGCAATAGGCTGGAGAGCCTTAACAATGGTGAGCTTATTTTTAAAAATATTTCAGAATATGATATTTATAAGGCATTTAAAAGAATTAAATCTAAAAGTATGGGTATAGACCAAATAAGTTACAATCTTGTTCTTTTTAGCATTGATTGTATTGCTCCGTTTCTAGCTAAGCTATTCAATATATCCTTACAAACGGGGGAATTTCCAAAAATGTGGAAGAGCGCCATTGTTAAGCCTTTGCCAAAGAAAAAGAAAATTGAAAATTTTTCTGAACTAAGGCCAATCTGTCTCTTTTCAATATTTGCCAAAATGTTCGAAGTACTAGTGTCTGATATGCTGCTTGAATTTGTAAATACCAATAATATTATACCAGCTGTGCAGTCTGGCTTTAGGAAAAATCATGGAACTGCTACGGCACTTACAAAAGTGGCTTCTGAAGTATCAACTAATATTGACTCATCAAGGGTTTCTTGTCTAGCACTGCTAGACTATAGTAAGGCTTTCGATCTTATACATCACGACATGTTTGTGGCTAAAATGAGGTTCTATGGTTTTTCAGAGGCTGTCTGCAAATGGTTCAAGAACTACCTTCTACTAAGAACACAGGTGGTTGAGCTTGATGGAGCAAGATCTGAGCCTGTTACAACTGGTTATGGAGTCCCTCAGGGAAGTGTACTTGGGCCATTATTATTTAGCATTTATACTAGCGATCTTCCAAAGCAGGTTCGGTTTTGCTCCATCAATCTCTATGCCGATGACACGCAGCTCCTGTTAGGTTTTGCTCCTCAGGATGCCTGTGTGTTTATGCAGAGAATAAATGACGACTTAGACTCGATATTTATATGGTCAAGTCAACATGGGTTGGTTCTAAATGCTAGTAAGAGCACATATATGATTATGGGCTCTAATGCCGTCAGAAGTAAATTTTTGCGTTTTAATTTCACTACACTGCACATAAACGGTACTACTCTACCTAACTCAGAATCAGCAAGAAATCTGGGTGTGACTTTCGACGAAAGTCTTAACTTTCAGGTGCACGTCAACAAAAAATTGTCATGTGTTTATGCTGTACTTAAGAGTTTGTACCCGTTTAAGGATAATTTACCTCGCAACATTAAATTGATGTTAGTGGAGACTCTTATTTGGTCACAGTTGGACTATTGCAATGTTGTCTTCTATAACTACCTGAATGTTGAATTTAAAAACAAAATTCAGTTAGCTCAAAATGCTTGTATGAGATTTATTTTTAGCATTAGAAAATTTGACCATATTACGCCAACCTATGTAGAGAATAAGATACTAAAATCCTAGTATTCTTTCGTTCTGAACAAACTGATTGAAGTCAACTGAACTGATTGAACCGTGTTCTTTCGATTTCGGATCATTTCTCCCACCATACCCACCAAATGATTGCAATCAGTTTAATCTTAGCCCCAAGTGATCGCAGAATTTTTACGTTCACTTCTTTCAGATTATTTGTGAGTCCAAATCAGCTGATATAGATTATTGTTCTTTCGATGCGACAGAACTGAGCGAAGTGATGTGAATATAAAAATCACTTTCAGTTAAATCAGATTAGTTTGTTCAGTTCGATTAGATCGAAAGAATACCCCTAATATGAACAGCGAGCAGCCTTGCACTTTGGTCAATTCGTTTATAAAATTTTTCAATCTGGTTACCCATCCTTGAGGAAGTAATCTCAAACACTATTTTCCTGTTGAAAGATTATAGCATTTCCTCCTAAAAGATAATAACGCTTTTGTTGAGGTTTTTGATACTTTCAGCCCTAAATCCTAATCATATAATTTGTATACCTTCAGTTTTTCAGTTATAAGTATTCATTTATTCATCAATCCATATTCATCTAATACATGCTTCCTATCTTTCATTCATCAAAATTCTTGTTTTAGGTTGAAGTTTTGGGTGTGGGTTCGGAAGGGGAATCGAGTGATATAGCCTCGGATATAGCCCTAAGCGATGTCGAGGGCCAAGAAGACGACGATGACATCCCAGATGCCAGAGCTTGGGGCAAAGAAAAAAAGAAATATTACGGAGCAGATTACGTGGATCCAGATTATGGTGGATTCCAAGGAAAAGATGGCCACGCAGCGGAAATCGAAGAACAAGAAACTAAAACTTTGCAGAATCAGTTGATGCAACAACTGGACGATAATGATTTTAGTTTGGATGTTATTTTTAAAAAGGTAATTTTAATTATTTATTCTTGAAGTAATCTTATTTAGGATTATGTTTTTTTATAGAAGCCAGACAAGGAAGAAGTAAAAGAACAAACGGAGGAGTTAATTAAAACAGATTTAACCAAACTGACTAATAAGCAGAAAATTCAAATGTTACAAAAGGAATCACCGGAGTTTTTTAGTCTTGTGGATGATTTTAAAGTTAAAATGGCTTTTGCAAAAGATTACTTAAATCCGATTATTCAAAAAGTAAAAAATGGAGAAATTGAACATTGCAAGGCAGTTGATTGTGTACAAACTCATTACAAACTTATTTTGAAGTAAGTTAAAATCACCAAAAATTGGCATGTTTGTTGATTTCTTGTTATTATTTTTTAGTTATGCCACCAACATTAATATGTATTTATTGCTTAAAGGCAATAATAAATTGAAAAATCATCCAATAATTCAAAGATTGTACCAATATAGGCAATTATTAAGCCAAATAGAACCTGTATTCGAGGAAATTATTAAACCGCAAATTGAGCTATTGCTTGCTAAAGTAAGTTTGGACTTTATCAAAATTTCCATCTAATTAATTATCGTCTGTATTGTATAGAAAGAAGTTGAGGAAAAAACTCTCAAACTACTGAGTCAGCTTCAAAATACTAAAAAGACAAAATCCAAATCAGTCAGTGGTCGTCCAAGTAAAAAAATCAAGTTGGACGAAAATCTTATGACCAAAAAAGTTACGTTTGAATCGAATAGTTCAGGTGAAGATGACAAGGAAGTGCCTGAAGAGATTGAAGGTGATAACGAAGAAACCGAACCAAGTAAACGTGCAATTACGTACCAAATTGCTAAAAACAAAGGGCTCACTCCGCATAGAAAGAAGGAACTTAGAAATCCAAGAGTGAAGCACAAACTCAAGTTCAGGAAAGCCCTGATTCGCAGAAAAGGTGCCGTACGTGAACCAAGAAAAGAACTTTCCAGGTACAGCGGGGAAATATCAGGTATCAAAGCCTCTGTGTCCAAGAGTATCAAAATCAAATCATAAATGTCTGATATTAAATAAATGTTTATTTACAAAGAAAGTGATCGTACAATAATTATTATAGTACCCTAATAAATTTCGTACTTACTAATAATAATTTAAATACTACTAAATTTAACAAAGGCTTATAGTAATAGTAACAAACAGTTTTTTTTCAATAATGTCTATAATATGGAATAGATTTATTTTTAAAACTAAAACTAAAATAGCATCAATTAAAATAGATTATAATTTTATTATGGTCAAGACTAGAAATAAACCTAAAGATATTTTTCAAAGCCGAAAATAAAAAGAAAACAATCATTATTGTTTTGGTAGAAGACAGTGGACACCAAAAAGAAAGGCAAACATTTGATTAGCAATAGCCACACATTATTTTAAAGTAAAATTTTAATCAGTCTTTAATAAGGTTTACAGTTTACCCTTATAGTTTCATTTTTTCCTTATCGAAACTAATAAATTAACCACTAAACACTTAATTAATTAATAACTATATATTGATATGTAAAAATATGAAAAACTTTAACAAAACTAATATGCTGAATAATATTACATTTATAAAGTAATAAGCGAAATAATCATATTATGGATATTTGAGAATTTCCAGAGTAGCTCTCATTGAACCAATTTCTGATCTTGTAGACCTACCCTTTTCAAGATGTGTTTCAGAAACTGTAAAATTAGGTTAAAAAAAAAGGTGTAGAATAATCAATTATACCCAATACAAGTAGGTACATTCCAATTTAAGTACAATGTGGAGGTGATTTGTAATAAAAAATATACAAGGTGATCAATTTTGGGTGCTTCAGGGTCTAAGCTCAAAATCATCCTTGCATACATTTTTCAGTATATTTTGTTTAGTTTTGCACACATTAAACATATATCAAAGTTTTTTGCTTACCGATTATACGTTATCATTAAAATTATTGATCGATATCACATCAAAACGACATGCCTATTATACAGGGTGTCTCCAATCAGTCTGTACAGACTGCAACGGTATGGAAATAAAGCGATTTAATAAAAAAAATATCGTGGACCTAGAATGAATTGTTATTGAAAGGGGTCGTGGCAAATTAAAATTTTTAAATTTTAGAACTGTTATCAAGATAAATTTTTTCAAACAATGAAATGCCATTACTTTCTAACAATGTACATATAGACAGACCTTTTAGAGTCACCCTATACAAGATATTGGATGTTACATACATATAGATACATATAGGAATCAGGCACAATAATTATAATTTATTTCATAAAATAAAAAAATTAAAGTTGGATATGCATTAATAATATACATAGTCGTCGATTTCTAAACTATATTAATTAAGAATGTGCCGAATGTATTATATCAATAAACATTCAGTCGGGGCAAATTGGGGAGCATAGGAAATTTAACATTTAGATTTAAAATATTGTCTTTTAGATAAATTTACGTTTCCTCAGTATCAGACGGAGCGTCTAGAGCTGTGTGCACTGTAACGCTCACTCCTCTATTGATACTAACCGCAGGATAAAAAACTCCGTATAAATCCCTAAAGGCTATTACTCCTTGTGGTTCCTCATTTACGTAAAACTGTAGAGTGTGATGGTTCAGGTCTAGCAATACTCCTATAGTAGAGCCTACATGGATGCCACCTTCTACTCTCTGTTCGTGAGCTCCAGCATGTTGAAACCATGATCTTTGACGGTCGATGTACATTGCCCAGCCTTTATCGTCTTTTCCTAAGTAAATAAAACAGAGTTAGAAAGTGTATATTATTTGGACGATCATTATAGACGTGTTTAAAGTTGATTTCTAAAATTTTTTTCAATTTGACTCTGAAGTTTAAATTACTCAATGAATATTTAACCACTACGTTGCACAGTTCCTAGAACCCAAGATTTTATGTCTATTTTATTCTCAAAGGAAACTATTGTTTGTAATTTAAATAGAAGTGTGTGTTTTCTAAACATATCTTCAAAGATTTTGAGATTACAATTCGACAAAGTCTGTCAACAAGATTCAGTACTTAGAGAATTATTGTCATTGTTAGTTATTCTCTGTATGAATAAGTTTGGTGTTATTTTGTATACGATAATCCTATTCACAGTTTCTGTATAAAAATGCGAAAAGACTCTTATAAAGTCGCCAGTCACCACTTTGGAAATCGAACTGTTGCCGCAATATTTTCAATGATTCCTAAATTTGAAATGTGACTTGGGTATTTTCATAAACATGTATGTGATTGTTCAGTTTCGTCTACGCGCCCTGTATATAGCTGTAGGTTAAATTGGGCATTTAGGATCTTACATCCTATTTGGGAATGGAAATTGATTCGTTTTTCTTTATTTTTTGTTTTCTCTTATTCTAATTGAATTGCGCGTGCTCTATGCCTAAAAATGATACGACTATGCTAAAGGATAACGCACACCTAACATGGGATTTTTGGGCTCTATGAATTTTGCCAATTTTTTGATATGTTGTAGGATTTAATTCTTAACAACCTTTAAATGGGACCAAATCTTGTAGGTATTATGGTCCAAGAGCCCAGAGCCGCCAGACACAACTTATTTTCTAAAGGACAGAATATGTGGGATTGAGTAGCACTTATAGGTGCTATGAACGTATGTATACTCGCTAAGTTGGGTAGACGGCCAGTTGACTGTTATTTGTAAATAACGGTTTTTCCCATTAGGGGAAAAACCGAATCCCATTTCTACTCTAGCCTGAAGTAGACTGTAAGTTTAAGAGGGGGAAATAGATATCTCGCTCACTCTCAAACGCATGCATAGTACCCTCGCGCTCACACTCACGCAAAAACTATTATTGCGTCTGGGGGGAAGTTTGGCCGGTGCGATTGGTCTGGCTGAGCACACGTAGTTATGAAATAGTCTCCCCAATAACATGTATAAAAATCAAGCGTTAGAAAAAAAGTTAAAGTACTTCTTAAGCTTTCGCACCTGGTGTCGGTAAATTAGCCGTCTACCCAACTTAGCGGGTATACATACGTTCATAGTACATATAAGTGCTACACAATCCCACATATTCTGTCCTTTAGAAAATAAGTTGTGTCTGGCGGCTCTGGGCTCTTGGACGGAGAGTATACGAAGAGCTGGTGTTTGCCAGTCAAAATTTTGACAGGTCGACATATTTCACGTCACTAATAAATGTCAACATAGGCTAAGGCCGGGACCGCACTGGCGCCAACATTGACCCCAGTGCGGTCCCGGCCTTAACCTATGTTGACATTAATTTTCAAGTGACGTAAAATATGTGAACCTGTCAATATTTTGACTGATTAACACCAGTAGCACCAGTATCTCGTATACTCTCCACACAAAAAGTTGCAAAAAAGTTCATCTTTCAACGCTCATATCTCAAAGGCCGTAATTAGGCAATCTACTGACCTGTCAAAAACGAAATTCAATATGGAAGTTCGGGTCAAGCATTGGGTCAAGCACTGTGTTGTTTATTCTTTTATGTATCAAGGGAATTATGCAGGTGTTAATACCCCAGGGCAACGTTTGTGTCCCGAGGGCCTCCGGCCCGAGGGACACCAATTGCCCGTGGGTATTAACTCCTGATAATTCCCGTGGTACATAGATAATTTTATATCCTACTGAATTTACTGTATTCTGTCTATTTTTATAAAGGAATAAGCCATAAATCAAAATTTCTATTTTTTGTCAAAGTGTTACCTATTCAAGGTAAAAGCGGGAGTTATGGAAATCCTTAACTCCCTTGGGAGTTATGATATCCTTAACTCCCTTCCTTAACTCCCTTGGGAGTTATGAAAATCCTTAACTTCCTTGGGAGTTAAGACCCTGTTTATGATTATCGTAACCAAGGTATTATATGGTTTTAATAGTTCAGTAGGATATAAATAACTATAATGTTCTGTATGTCATTGATTCTGTCACATTCTGGACAAACGTCCAGATTTGAATTATCGGATTTTGTGTTTTTTTGTGTGTTTAGGTATTGTGTTAATTAAAATGCCAGCGATTTGCATCGTAATTGGGTGTTGAAGTCGAGGTAACAGGGATAATGTTAAATTTTATTAAGTTCCTGCTATTTTAAATTATTGGCTTTTGATCTACAGATATGAATTATCAAAACAACGCAGGGCTTTATGGATTGCTGCAACTAAAAGCTCGATTTTCCCTTAATAATAATACCTTAAGATATTCACTCTCCATCTCAGAATTTATTAATAAATTAAAAAATACGTAGAAAGAATAGAAACACTATAAAGGCCCCCACAGACTGCGTTTTTGTTTGACGGTTTTGTTCGACGAACAAATCTGGTCGAGCAAAAACGACGGATCGCAGTTGCACACAGACCTCGGTTTAGTTTGGCGAACATCAGTCACGTTGGAAACTTTTTAATTCTTTTTTTTAATTTCAATAATGTAAAATTATGTAGCTACGCACCACACACCACACAAAACCGTCGTTTTTAAAATTCCTAGCCCACACACTTCAGATTTGTTGACATATCGAACATATCCGACGGACAAAATCAGGCGAAGCCAGATATTTGCATCGGTTTGGTATGCCAGCAAAAACGACAATTTTTCACACACACACTTCGGTTTTGCATCGTTTTGGCTCGACCAGATTTACTCGTCGAACAAATCTGTCCAACAAAAACGCAGTCTGTGGGGCCCTTAAAATTCACTTTGAAAACAACAAGGGCCAGAACACTAAAAAATACATAGAAATACTAAAGACTATAGAATTCACAATTCACTATGAAAACAACAATGACCAAAACCAATGAAAAATACGTAGAAACACATAAAATTCACTTCGAAAGCAGCAAGGGCCAGAACACCAATGTTCTCCTTATGAGCGTCAAACGTCACCGGCTTGTCACCGCAATATTTGACCCGAACGGCCATTAGAAAATCACGTGATTGAGATTGCCTAATACGTGTGGTTCGAGAAAATAGACCCGCGGTTTTTCGTTCGCCGCGACCGGTTAAATCAAGACGGTTTCGTTGCACTCCTACGCATGGGACCTGAACTTCCTGAATGAGCTGGCCAGCTGAGTGGAGTTTGGAAGTAGAGCAAGGTAAGGTGAAAAAATATCCTTTTCAGTTTCGATATCTTTAAATTTCATTTTGAAATCTTTCATCGATTACCATCCTATCAGCAACCTGTGGATTTTCCAGTTTTTCCTACAGCATGGCAATAGTACAGCAAAAAACAAAAATTCCAAAATATTGCTGATCGGATGGATTGGAGAAATGTGTCTTCAAATAACCCCATTCAGCAATTCCACTCAAAACTTGAAGTACCTACTGTTCAGAAATAAAGAATAAAACAAGCTTTCTGGATTTTAGGTTTGATTCGGGAGATGTAGTTTTTCAAGATGGTGTGATACATCAAAGAGAGTCTACAAGATTTTTGGGCGTAATCATTGACAAAAAGTTGAAGTTCACAGAGCACTTGGAGCATTTGTGTAAAAAATTATCTAGGGGGTACTATGCTGTAAGAGTAATGTGAAGGGAATTAGGACGGCATATAGCCTGGAGTGTATATGCATATTGCGACATATATAACGAGAACCGTTTCATCTGACGAGAAAGTTTTGGAACTACAAGAAGAACTCGAACAAATACACTGGAATGTAATTAATCGGAATAAGCGAAATTCGGAAAAGAGGAGAAAAACAAATCCTACTGGTCAGGTCAGGAAATATGTTCTGAAGGAGGAGTCGGACTTCTGATAAATAGGCGACATGTACATAATATACTTGAGATCAGCAGCGTAAGCCCCAGAGTTTGCTATGCAATATTGGAATTAAATGAACGATACAATATCAAGATTATCCAAGCCGAGAACCTTACTTTAGCAATCTCAACTCCTCTAACGTACTTCACCATAATCGAAGACTTCAATGCCAAACTTGGAAAGAAACAAAATGAAACGGAAACACCACTGGGATGCCATGGGGTTGGGAAAAGGAACGAACGAGGAAATCACTTGGAGCATTTGTGTAAAAAATTATCTAGGGGGTACTATGCTGTAAGGGTAGTGTCAAGGGAATTAGGACGGCATATAGCTCGGAGTGTATACTTCTCCTTGAATCCCACTTCGCTATGGGGTGGCCTTCTGGGGTTATTGTAATACAACATCTTTAAATGTGGTCCTAGTACTGCAGAAGCGGGCGTTGCGATATATTTGCAATGCAAGGTCGCGAGAACATTGTAAACCCCTTTTCATAAAGGAATAGATCCTTACTGTGGTCTGCTTATTTATATTGGAAACGGTCTGTTTGGATTCAAAGGCCAGAGACGCAATTCTGCATATGCCATGCGTAATGAGTGGGACTTACCTCTCCCAATTCCAAGGTCTGGTTTAACCAAGAACTCGGTAATATTTGAAGGTCTTAAAATATATAACCACCTGCCGTTGAATACAACATCATCAACAAGTGCTAGTGATGCTAGTTGACGTGGATTATTTTATTTTTATCCTTGTTATGACGTAAGATGTATAATGAATTAGGATTAAGGCCTGCTTTGTCTACAACATTAATAATTGTTTCTTGACAATAAAGCTTATTTGATTGATTTGAAGAAAATATTGGAGTGGTGACCTAGAGATCCTGCACACAGAAGCCGGCGTAGACCGCCGACTCGATGGAAAGATGATGTCAAGACGATCAGGGCCGCCGAGAGCCGGGTCGCGCCCGGGAAAAAAAGTAATAACAAATCCTTTTTTTTTTTGGTCT